GTCGGGTCAGTAGCATCCATACAAATTGCTGCATTGACTTCAGGAGCTTAAAGGTAAGCACATCTATAGATACACACCAAAGGGCTTTTATGAGGATCAGTAGAATGAGTTCCTAACAACCTGTGTAAGTGGCTAGCTAGAAGTTCATCTTTCAGAATGACTAAATGGCATTTAGAATGACTTAGGCCTTTTTTCCCCCTACATTTATTCCATACAATTAAAAGCTTATATTCCAAAATCGGGTTTTAAAAGGAACTAATTTTCAGAGAACATAGTCCTGGCAGCTCGTGTTTCCCTTTCTGAATACAGGTATTGCCACACTTGTGAATATCTAGCTCTATCTCCAGCACCGTCTATGCCAGCAGCTTCAGAGGAACTTGAAAAAGACTCTCTAATGTCTGACTAATTAATTTCACCCAGTGGAAAAGTTTTATCTGAATTCTCCTCCTTGTTACTAGGAATAGCAAATCCTTCTCAGAATAAGGCTGAACTCCAGGTTTCGATGATGCTACACATCAGAGGGCACCAGTGGTTAACAAGACAAGATTTTGGAATTTTCTTTATTTTGCCTCTTTATTATAAACATATTTCTTACTTTCCAGTAACACTAGGCTTACTAGTGACAAAGAAGAAGGTATCATTATCTGTATCACACTTACTAATTTACAAAACCTTACTATTTCCTCTATTCATCTCTTTTCCTGCCTCTGCAGTACAGCTCACTGAATTCTCTCTCCACTCTGCCCCTATTAATGTATTGATTTGTCATTGCGCTTCCTCTGTTTCCACTAGATAGCTTGAAGGATGGGTGACTAAAACTGAGCAACGTTCCAAAAGGATAATATGGGATATTTTCAGAATTTATTTGCTGCTATGCATTACATTATAGTTGAGGTTACTGAGGGACTTTTCTCTAACTGGTTGTACTTCTGTTCAGAAGACTGCAGTCTTGGAGTCCTGACAATTCCTTTCTGTGTGCATTATTTTACATTTACCAATACGAACACTGAACTTGAACCATCTCCCTGATTTTACCTTTAGGGTATAACCTAGATCTGCTCAGTCTTTGTTGTCTTTCAGTAATACATGCCTGTTTGACTGGAAGAAGTACCAGAAGCCATATACATCTATGCTTGCATGGCTACTCATGGCCCTTATATAACCAGGTATAAAAGTCAAAAGTCCAATGCTTTTGGTTTTTTTTAATCTTCATGTCAAGTACTTCAGCTTTTTTGAAAATTATCCCAAGTTTTAATTTTCAAGGGAACCTATGTAAAACAAAGAACAATATAAAATGTGAAGTAGACGTGACAGAGTAATTTTGTAAAGATTCTGCCAAGCCATGATCCTCTTCTTCTTACTTGATTTTGTAAATTTCAGGGTTTGCAGAACCAGCTTGTTTTACCGCTTCTGTGTTTCTCTCCTGTCCCTCTAGGAATCTGTCTCCAGCAGGACAGTGCAGGCAGTTTGCTTGCACGTGCGGAGGACTCTCTGGCTAGGTTTAAACAAAATGAGTCAAAGATGCTGATGTGGCCTGAGGCCAAGGACCTGACACTGCCCATGTCCTTGTATCTCAGCTTTCTTCCTCCCAGCACAAACTGGTGATGCTCAAACTGCCGCTTGGGAGCAGTCGGAGGCACAGCTGTCCCCAGCACCGTGGCTGGGAAGTCTCTGGGGGCTGCTGGTTGGCAGGAGCCAGCGCTATGCCAGGGAGAGTGCGAACAGTCACATCCCAGTGCTTCAGCCAGGGCCCTCGGAGTTTTTCCTTGTATAAATGAAACCCAAATGCCTGAATAAGCAACACAAAGGGAAGGAGAACTGGTTCTTCCTTTTCTTCTTCTGGGTGAGTTTAAATTACAAAGGAAGAAAAGAAAAGTCATTAGAGCAGATCCCTTTCCTACTGAAATGCCAGGTTAGAAAACAGGCCTGGAGTCTCCGATGCATGCAATTCACCCTTGAGGCAGGAAGAAACCTTTTCATTTTCTGGCTCTCGTTTCAGTCCCTGGATGTCCCAGAAGCTGGGAAGCTGCTCTGCTTTCTGCTGCAAGCTGCCATGATAGCCCTAGGTCTGGCAGAGCAGCTCTGTCACGCCTCTATACCATAAGGGATTGTCCTGGAAGCGAGAGCATCCCTAGGTGCTCTTCTGGGTCACTTTTTCCCGGCTGTGTCCCGGTAGTGCAGGATAAGCAGAATGAGGGCAGCAGGCTCAGCTGCTGGGTTTTTTCTCATATGACAGTGAGGGGTGGATGGGAAGACTAGAGACGGTTACTTTGTAAAATACCAATACTTTAATACTAAGCCATTAAACTGCATACCTACTAAAGAGTGAGACCTTTATATTAGCTAAACACCTTGTTTTGTGTGATAGGAGAAAAAGCTGCTTACATTAAAAATCTGTTTTATTCTGAAAGCTGTCAGCCACAAATTTTGAGGGGTGGTCGAGGAATACATGATTATCTTTTTTATGCAAGGGATGTCATGACTGATAATCAAAAGGTTCCCTTCTTACCTTAAAGATCAAGCTCCAGGAGCACATGGAAGTTATTTCCTTGGTCCCAGCAGCTTGAATCAGAATATCAGAGGTACATACCTAAATTCTGGAAAATAAGGAGCTTCCAAAGGAGAGTGTGGAGCTATTCTGAGTGAGGCGAGAGAAAGTACTAAGCACAGGAGTAGACCCCAGGATACCCCTCCTCTCTGGAGTTCATGCACTTCCCTCTGAAAAGCAGCCACGTGGAGTCCCATCTTGAGGCTGTGCATGATCAGCTTTACTCTTTTGGCAAGGGTAGCAGTAATTAGCACTTGCTCAAAAAGGAGATATGGGAGATTCAGACATAAAGCCAGGTGTTCTGACTGTGGTGATAAGGTATTCAGGGTGCAGAATAACAGTGGGGGCTGTGCCACTGTGGGACTGGGAAGGAGAATCCAGGCTGCTGGAGGTGCCCCTTAGTGCTGTCTGTGAATTGCTGCAGAGCAGAAGATGGAGCTGCAGATAGGAGAGTGCCTACACTTGTTTACAGTCAAGAAACATTGCAGTACAAACGCAGGCACTGTATGGATTTAGGCATCTCCCAGGTTGGGTAATTACTGCCAACATCAGCTTTTTGGATTGCTTTATTGAACTTGGGCATTTATGTTCTACCTAAGTAAAATTCTTTTTAGTCTTTGTTTGCTCTTGCCCAAAATCAATTAACTTGCAGCACCACAGGGTTTGATTTTCTAATCCAGCCGTGCTTAATCATTGATGTAAAACAAGATTTTTTTTCTCCTCTCAGATTCTTTTCTAATGGCTTCTTATTTCTTGCCCTCTAAGTGTGCACCTGAATTCTCTGCATCTATTTTTAAGGGCTTCCCCACTTCCAGAAGTGTTTAATCAAAGAGAAGGCTATCAGCAGGTGGCTCGCATCAAATGTCAGCAGCTGCTTCATTTCTGACATCCCTTGGAAAAGATGTTTTATTACCATGCAAATGATGTTAGTCTTCCTTTCCAAGATCCATTGTCACACGCTGTAACATATGGTACACAGAATTGTGCTCCCAAGATTTATGTGGCAACTACATTTTGTAGCAGAACAACAATTGTGAGAGCTAAACCATCAGATGACAGTCATCACTGGTTCCCAATGAGCTGGTGAATATTTCTGTATCTCATGGTTACTCTAACTACAGAGGGGGCACTTATTTCTGCTTTCTTTTAAACCCTTCAATTTTTCTTTAGCTTGTATCACAAATATCATGGTGCTTTTCACAGCCTATGCCAGACAGAATAGCCCAGCAGCTTTAATGGGTGCTATTATCTTTCTTGAGTATGCCTGGGAAGCAAATTATTCAGTTGATACTTGGAGCAGCAATGTCTTGAACTACACAAAGAATATTGAAGCTGCTGGCATCTCTCGGGGATTTTTGAAAGTGCCAATAATGGTAGTAGGAACTCAACTTTTCCAAGGGCCTTGAAACCCTGTAAGCAGAATAGGATAAACCTATGAGGGGGTTGATTCATCAGAGCACTGGAGTACAGTCCTATGACTTCAGCAGGGCTTCAGGATGTGTTTAGAGTTAAGCATATGTTTGGGTGAATTGTTAACCTCAAGTGTGTGATCAAGTGCTTTGCTGACTCAGGGACGAGACATTCCTAACAGCTTGTTGTTTTCCACTTTACCATCTGGGAAGAGGCAGCTTGACAGCACGTGGGCTGTGTGAGACATTATTGCATTTCTGAAAGGATATTAACAGCCTTGAAGTTTCCAGGTTCTCTGAATCAGGAATTTTTTGTCTCTACAGATCTAACTGGGGTAGAACAACCTCACTGTTGTGTTTGAAACCAAACTGACCACAGCATTTGCTAGGTTATCAGCCTATTCCTAATTAATATAATCATGTGTTTTCGTGGAACTGCTAAAGATGCAGGTGGAAAGCTTTACAGAACCTGCAGGTTTGGGGGCATGAACTTGCCCCTTTTGGATATTTTAGGAAGTCTCTTTTGCACCTGGACAACTGTAAGAACCCAAATTTGCAAGCACTTTTAATTACAGAGTCATCTCTCCACTACACCCATTTTCTGACCTAGGGGAGCACATCTCTATTTATATGAAATAAATGTTGTTACAGGCTGTTAAGACAACTCACCCTCATGCCGCAGCCAGGTAGTGCAAAAGAGTGGGTCATACAGACCTGTTACTTCATTTGTGAGAGAGGGGCAAGATATCTTGATCCTTTGGTATTCTCCAAATTATTTTAACTTCCCAAAAATACTAGGGGTTCACCTGAAAAATCTCCCGTATCACTCCCCCATCTGGTCAGCACACACCCCTCCTTCTCTAATCTGATACTGTCCTGGTTTCAGCTACCCTTCTGGTCTGCCATGTTAACACTCTTGATCTAAAAGCCATTTCTGTATTGTTGTGCTGCTTTGCATTTTTGATGAATGCTTACAGAAGAATGTTAATTGTAACAAAATGCATTTCTTTGTGGGAACTTTTCTTTTTTTTTATTTTTTCCAGTGACAAAATGTTCCCAGCCTTTGGATTTGGAGCAAGGATACCACCAGAATACAAAGTAGGTGCATAAATGACATTTTCTAGTTTCCTTGGTTTGTGAGGCACAAAATAAGCAACAAATGGTTCAGTGCAGGGCAGGGGCTAGGGGGAGCAGCTCCTACTGCTTGTTTTCTCTCACCTGGCTTTCTCACCCAGTGATATCTCACTGAAACCAGAAATCAAAGCTAGACTTAAAATAGTTATGTTACACCCAAATTATTTAATGGTATTGGCAAAGCTTTGTTAATGGATGCTAGTCCAGTAAGAGGAGACCTGATTTTTTGAACAATGCTTGCCAGGCATATTTTGAAGCTTTGCAAACCATGGTTTGACAGAACCCATTTTTGGAAGATGTGGTTCAGTGAGGGGCCTAATGTCCATGCTTTATGATGAAGAGCTTTAACATCTTCCTGAAAATAAAGACTTTTTAGAAGAGTTTTGCTCTGTGGCACATTTCTGCGCCATGGTGGACATTGTCAATACCAGGAAGAGAAATATAAGAGCATGCTGGAGACAGGTGGTATTTATGAACAAAACAAAATGAGAGTGTTCCACAGTGATGGTGCAGTTGTAAGTGTAAATCTGCAGTCTGGTAGGGCTGGAGTTAAGACATTGGAGTAAAAGAAGGAGCATCCAACAGAGAAACACCTAAGAAGAAATAGGCAGAAGTTCAAATCCTGTGTTGCACATGCAGAGGTAGTGTGGGCAGAGAAGTAGTTCTGCACAAATAAGTAACCAAAAACTAGCTGGAGATTCTGCAACTCAAATACTGTCTGGAAAAGAACAGCATTAGACTTCTGATCATGCAGAACATAGCCAAGATGCATGGGAAACAGAGAAGAAACTGATATAATTAAAAGTTAACAAAGACTAGAAAAAAGTGCTCCCAACTTGTCTCCCCTAACTTCTTATCTTCTGCTGCAAAAATATGGTGACACTATAGACACCACAGCAACACTGCAGATCTCCTGCTATTCAAATGTTCTTTTGATGTTTTCAGTCAAAGGTATTACAAGTCATACTTATCTTTTGTTTTATTAAAGGGCAGCAGTGTAATGACTGTAATAACTCACATCTTCAAATTTAGGTTGAATCATCATGAGAACTTCTAAGTTCTGGCCCCATCATGTGGCTTTTCATTTTAATTTAGAGTGTCTGCTTTCGAGCCTGCAGCCCTAATGAGGTGATCTAACCTGCTTATAGCATGTTGGTCTCTGCACACCAGCAGCTACTCTTTTATTTCTTCCAGTAGACACCAGATTGCTAGGGCTGTGGAAGAAATTACTTCCACTGCTAGGGGTTTCTTAGTAACCATGAGAGCCTCCACACAACTTCAGCAACATAGCTTCCTTAAGAGTCTAAATGAAAGCTGCCCAACATAAGCATGGCAGTAACACAGTGAGGGAAGGCCAGAGGTAAGCAGCCTGATAAAAACAGGCAAAGTGGATCGAGTGGATTCAGGTCTAATTTATGTCATGCTCAGTCACAAGTTGTAGAAGAATGAGGCCTGTAACTCACTATTCAGCATGAATCAATGCTAACATTGCTATTTAGGATCAGCTGTAAGCCACTGCTTTCAGGTTGGCCATAAGCTCTAAATTTGTTTGCCGAAGTTTCCTAGGTGCACTAGAGCACATGAGAGAAAGGTGTCCGTTTGCAGTGGTGTCAAAGCAGTGCCTTGGTTTCGTACTTTCTTGAGCTCCTGCCAGTACCCTGGGATGGGTGCTGGAGGGCACTATTCACCTGTCCGTTTAGTGAGATTCTAGCCTCCTCACATCCTTTTACATGCTACAAGAAAAGCAGTGTTTGCTATGTGAACTATTATTACCCATGGAAAAATACATCGTCGTCCACCCCACACCCCCCATTTTACCTTAGCGCTTCAGAACGATGTCAGTATCCACCTCTGCAGGCTCTTCATGAATGTCTTGAGGTTGAACCCCTTTTAAAATGTTTTTATATATGCTTTCTACAGAATTTCCATTTCAAGAGCACACCGCTATGTTACGCTGACTTTATTTTCCCTCATTTCAGCTCCAAATAAAACACTTCAGCTGTTAGCAGAAAAACAGCATTTCTTAGTGGCATAAGGAATCTGTGGGAGTGAAGGATGCAAAACATGCCATATATAACATTCCTCACCAGTCTAGAGATCCTTCATCTAATATTCGCCAATATGATCCTTTTTCCCCAAGGTCTGACAAATATATCACCTTGCTCCTTGATCTGAGTAAACCTCTGAGAGCAATATTCCCCTCCTGAGTTTCTGTCACACAAAACTTGCAGAACATGCTGGTTATTCCACAGCAGTGTCTCCAACCCATAACTTTTTTCTGCAGTGAGAAGAAGTATCTGAGAAGTCTGATGTAAAATGAAGAGGTGGCAGATAATATGGACTCAGACACTGCTGCAAAAGGTCACAGTGAAGAGGAGGAAAGAAAGCTTAACCACACACGCTAATTTCTTAGCAGGCAAAACTCAAAGGAACTGAAAAACCACACAGCAGCACAAAACTTACTGTTAAAATGAACAGAAAGTTAGAATTGCGTCAGCCCCGTGACAGGTGTATTGCCAATAATGACATGTTCTTTTCTATAGAAATATTGCAGGCTGACACCTGAATAGGTACAAAACAACTTGCAGTTTGTTTTAAGACAGTCTTGGTTATTTCTGCATTTTTAATGAAAGCTATATTCGCTGCTTATGCTGGGAAGAGTTGCTGAAGAGAACCCCACTGCAGTTACAATACAGCATCTTTACGATCCTAACCTGCACTGTCTGGTTTGCTGCACAGGTAAGGGACTTGAAAAGTGCCATAGTCTTTGTGATTCTTGCACTTTTCAGGACCTTGAGGGCAAAAATATATGCAAACCTAACAAAAAAGAACTGATAGAAGGATGTGTAATGGACCAAGGGAAAAAACAGAATTTGTCACCTTATCCACGCAACTTGGATTTAGACAGGGAAACTGGGCAGCATGTTTGAAAATCAAGTACAAAGGAAAATAAATGGCCAAGCTTTGCCAAGCAGAAATGTCTACAGTGTGGTCTTAGCCAAAGACACAAGCTGTCCAGCTCCCAAACTATTTGATTAATGAGCATTCTGAAAATAATAGCTTTTGAGCAATGGTTCTTTAAATTAGTTAGTGTCTTCAGCTTTTGCAAAATATGCAGGCATTCCATATTTAATTTTCAGACTGGCAGTGGCTTAATAGCATTCAATTTATTCACAGATAAATGTTCAACATTGTGAATCTCAGCATTTATGCCCGTATGCATCTATTGTTCATGGATTTTTGACAATCTCTATTTAAATTAGTAAGAAAGCATTCCTAAACATGGCTGAATTTGTCAGATTGTCTGTCAAGTAGTCCCAGTACCATCACCATAGAGGTTTCTGGAAAGCTGGAGCTATTTGGGACAGGGAGGTTAATTTAAATGAATTCAACAATCTAGAGAGGGGAAAAAAAAGATCACTAATTTTCGGAATTCAGGCATCCATATTCAGCATTTACAAAATGAATGAAAAATGTGGTTTCTGAGTCAAACCAGCTTTTTATTTAAAAAATGGAAGTTCAGTTAAAGTAAAAGGGGTTTAAAAAAATATGGAGGCCAAAATAGAATAACATGTTTTGATCCAACTTAAATAAAATGCCTTTGCATAGTCCAAAAGCTTTCCAGCAATTTGCTTTATGATTTTGTGGGGTTTTATTATTTGTCAGATTCCAAGGTAGGGGTTTTGTTTGTGTTTTGAGGTTTCTATCTGAGACCAAAAGACTTTTTTTTTTTAAGAAATCTCAAAAATTCATATTCATTAGGAAATTCTCCTTTCAGTCTTAATTAGAAACCTATTTAGTAAGAGCCATGCTACGAGGATGAATTTCATTACATCTGAATACGAGGGAAATAAGTTACCTGCTCTGTTAAATCAAGGTGACTTTTCTACTAAACTGGTCATAAGCATGTGGAAGTATGGTTATGGTTCTTGAAAGAGTCTCACAGGTGCCATCACACTGATGGACAACTGCCTTTCTGTATGCAGGTGCTTGTCACTGTGATGTACAGGCAATGGAGGCATTGTACAGTGGTAAAAAAAATGACTATAATCTGCCTTAGCAAAAATATTTTAGACTGTTTATGTAGTTGATGTAGCCTCAGAAATGCTGTCGTCATAACCTACATCATGATGTATGGTAAAGCTACTTATTTTGCTTGTTTAAAACCTTGAAGAAATTACCCAGGAAATAATATGTTCCTGGTGCAGGAAGTTCCTGGACAGCTGTGTTTTAATAATCCCACATCTGTGATGGTATCTGCTAAATAATTTATCTGGAGTCCTGCAGAGGGAAAAGATTAATACATAGCCAGGTGCAAGTACATATCCTTAGTTAGAGGCTTTGAGTGGTGTTTTGTGCAGCAACCCAGGTAATGCCAGGCTGATCACATGTAATCACCTCTGCACTCCAGAATTTCTCTCTCCTTTCTTTTTACGGACTGATGTTAAGAGAGAGGAGGAGGGCTGAGCAGAGGGTCATATTCAAAACTTAATCCAGGGTCCGTGACACACCATGGTTGTGAGGACATTCCTTATTGTAAGGCAGACTTCCACCACAGGCCACGGTCTACAGTTCTTTGCAAAGTTCTCTGCCAGATACTAATGTAAAGCAGTCATTCAGTGTTTGCATGGCTTGACATATTCCAGGATTTCCTGACTGTTAGATTGATCCATCATACAAACCACCATAGTAGATTATATAAACATGCTTGCTTCTGAACAGCCAAGTGTCGTCTTGTTTCCCCAGAAGATTTCCCAGTCTTCAGCATCTTAGATGTTCACACTTTTGCCTCCTTTTCCCCAGTTCTGGGAGTGCATGAGGGCTGTGTCATTCAATACCAGAAAGATGCTGTTTGATATACCAGCTTCTGGTCCTCTGTCATCAGCATGGTTTGCTTTTCAGTCACAAAAGCCCTTGCACGTTTAATTAAAAAAAAAAGGGAGGGTGGCTCATTACCTTGCACTGTTTTGAAAACAAAAGCATTGAATGTTTGAGCCAAACCATCTTTCGACACGGGTGGGCTTTACATGGAGTCCTGTTAGGTAGCAACCCAAGTTCAGTAAGGCCTTCAGTACGTGTCATGTGCCTGAAGTCTCTGCTGGTTTGGACCCTCTTGAATTTTGGCCACCACAGGGGAGATGGCACAGGGTAGGTTGAAGCGCAGCTGGTTTTACTTACCTGAGGGGGGAATGAGTTCTGAGCGTTTGGAGAAACTCTGCTTTAAAAATACCTGCTGTTGACTTGCCTTGGGTGATGATTTCCTGTTTGTGAACCATCACTGAGCAGCTCAAAGAACTTCTCTCCTTCGCACTGTACTTAAATTTTGTTTAAATTGTGATATATTGTTCAGAGAGCATGGGAAACAACCCAATACTTCTGCACATTCATTGTGTTTCTGCTCCTGCCTTCAGCATACATTTTAACACTGTTCTTAGTGAATCAGGATGACAATGTATGAGGGCCACTTGCTTTGGGAGGATGGCAGCCATTGCTCAGACAGCATTATTTTTTGGATCATTGTGCACACTTACTAGACTTGGGCTCTCCTTATTGGCATGAACCATTGTCTACATTTTTCTTAAATAATAGCCTGGGTGCCATAGCTCTGAACCAGATAAACTGCTTTAATAGTGTGATCCTGAAAGAGGTATAGCAACAAAAGCATCCAGCCCATGCTTGCATGTGAGATCAAAATACTGTAGCTGTGGAAAAGAATTGTGATACTCCTTTAGCTATAATTTCAAATGCATTTGGAATAAAGAAATGAAATCACAGAAGAGGCACAGTGTCGGAAGAATCAGCCTGCAATACATAAACATGCATCACCATACTTCTTGCTCTTGAGATGCAGTTAATACAAAATACAGAAAGCCTAGAGGAAGAAGAAAGGCTATTGAACAACAAAAAAATCATCAGTGAGTGAAAACTCACATAACTGATCTTGACAACTGCAATTACCTTTGGCCTGCAGCTGGTCATGAGACTGGCAGATAGCAGCTGGGCAAAGTGTGCCAAGAGACACACAGAGCAGCCAGACAGAAGGGCTCTGGAGCACCTCGGAAGCATATCTGACAGCCCTGCTCTTCTGTGCCTGCTCAGTGAGGAACACAGGTAGTGACTGTCTGCATTATCTTCCATGGCCAAGTAGGGTAGCCTGAAGGGCCCATGCAAAACCCTCCGTAAGAGGCAACTGATGCTTTGTGTAGACATACCAAATTCCTGGCTGGGCTGAGTTGGCTGCAGACTCTTCAGTGAGTTGCTCCTTCAGTCCTTTCCCATCATGGTAGAAGTCCTGCTTTATTTAACCTCTTAATAAGTAGCGGTAGGCATCACTGGTGAGCAAGGCCAGCATATGATGGGGAAATTCAATTTCTCTATGAGAAACTCTCTTTGGCAGTAATTAGCCAACTTACACCACTTCGCTTTTACAGGAGCTTCTCTGTAATCACATATTTGATCCATGGGTCTCTTAGTCATAGACCAGTTTCCATACTGTGCTGTGAAGTGGTCTAAACTAGCAAATAAAACAGCAACATCCAACAAATAAATCTCTTTCTGCAAATAACCCAGGTTCCATTTTACAGGGAGTAAACAGGTTGCTTTTCATATGACTAGGACTGTTGGTACTTCTGAAGGTCCTACAGAGATCTATAAAGTCTCAAATGTGTGTAATTGGAGTTAGCTATATAAATGCCTTCATGAATCTGGAATGATATACCTAAGTTCAACTTTAAATTGTGCAAATTGCCTGCTTAAGTCTCAGCCATATCCACTTTTTGCAAACCAAAAAAAAAAATATGTATACATACACTGTGCATTGCAAGACAAAAGTTGGGCTTCATTCAAGACAATTTAAGACAAACAAGAGAAGCAAGAGACTGAGCTTCAGAGCTGAAGAGAGTAAAAGGAATCAAGCCTTCTCAGTGATCAAAGAAAGGAGCAAAAAAGAATCTGGAAAAAAATGCAGGCAAGAACAAACCTTAAAACCAGAAAAGAGCATCGGAAGAAAGTTTCAGTCCCAACAGATTTGTACTGTGAATGCAGATCTCTAAGGGACAGACAGACAGAGGAAGCCTGGAACCTGAGACTTACATTGCCTTGCATTATTTGTGCATACAGAAGTCTGGTATTATTTTCCCAAGCCACCGAAGATACAATACATTGTTTTATTAGAAAATCAGAAACGTCTTTGTATTCACAGTCATTTCTTTTAGAAAATAGCTCTGTAGTATTTTATTACAGACGGATTTGGAGAGAAAGGCTGGGATATTCACTAAATTTGAGGAAAAACACGAGTTTTCAGGGTTTTTTCTGCTTAATTCCCCCTCCCCCCCAGCCTAATCTACCTTCTTAACCAGCTTAGGTCCCTTATATTTCTTAGATTATTATTTCACAGTGGGTCAGGTGACTTCCTTGATCTCTTTGGAGAATAAATTATTCTCCCAGTACTCCCATGGCCTTCAGATGAGGAACTGTTCACACCTGCGAGTGCAGGATTCAGAAGGGGGCTGAGCTTCTGCTGTCCCTGCTGAATCGCAACCTGCTTTCTCTCTGCTGCAAGCTGAGATGCTGAGCGAGGGAGAGCTGGCATTTAAATCTTCTCAGCAATAGATCCCTCTTCTGTGCCTGGCATGGATAGCCCAATCCTGACACCGTATTTATGGGATTTCTTATGTACTTGGGTCTTTGTGCTATTTTTCTTGGTTTTGTTGTTGTTGTTGACAGGTTTGATTCCAGTTTTGTTACTTTGTTTCTGTTGGGACTTCCAGCTGGGACTGTATTTCACACTTAATAGCTGAAAGCTTGCAAGATCTCTGGTTTGACACAGAAAGAATGTAAAGGGTGTTTAACTGCAAGTCCTCTTGGAATAATTTTTCTGACTACAGTCTTCTTCTTTTCTTTCCATTTATCTGCAGGTCTCTCATGATTTTGCAATCAATTTCAATGAAGACAACCCAGAATGTGCAGGTAATGCTCACATTAGGACAGACTGCCATATTTCTTCTGTGTGCAAAATGTGCTTGCATTTTTTATTGTATTACCTGAGTATTACTGAAAATGTTTTTTAAAGAACACAGCCAGGATTTTCAAAATGTGACAGGCTCCAAGCCATCGGGCTTATCTTTAGAAACCTTAGAAAGTGTCACACATTAATTTCCTGAAAAATAGGTCCCTTTGAAAGTACACCACGTTGGACATTCAGCACTTGCACTTCCCCAAATCACTAGCATTTCTGAAAACTAAAGCCATGTCTTCTAGATTCGTTCCAGATGTTCAGCTACATCAACACCATAGGTTGTGCAGCTAAGAAGGGCAGGACATGCAAAAGCAGGCTGTGAACCTCAGTGATCAAAGATTCCCTCAGTTTAGAGCCAGTTCTTTGGCCAGACCTATAACAACAGTAGCCTACTAGTAGGCTACAGTAGACTACTGTGGTAGAAGGAAGCACGCTTTCATGACAGCAAATGCAGCAGGAGGCTTTTTCAACACAGTGTAAGATATTGGTGTGTTCTAGCAACAACCACTAATCTTCGATAGTCGGATGCCAGATTTATGTAGCAGATGTTGCTGTATGTCTTGTATTTGTAAGTGAGGTCTGCAGTGACTGATGCTGTCTTTCTGGAATCTCCTGCCACAATGCACACATTTTGTAAAAGAGAATAACAGGACAATAATCTCTAAACAGCCTAACAAGTAATCCCAGACTAACACTTAGTTGAGAGTCTTGTTCAGATGATCATTGCTGTCTAAAATCCACAGGCTGTAATTCTCCCTTATCCTTCTGCTACCATCCAAACACTGAAATGGGTTTTTCAAAATGCTTTTACTGTTCAAATTTTCTAGCTGCTTCTTTCAGCCCTTCTCAGGCTTATTAGTGGCTTTCTCTCAGGCATGCTCAATGGGATATGTTCAGGATGAGAATTAAAATGCCAAGAAATAAAGTGAGGAAAAGAAGAGAGGATGAGCAATTCAAGGGAAAGAGACATTAAAAGAATTCAGAGTTCATGTATCTTAAATGCAAGACCTCATGTTTTTGGTTCAGTGGGCATTCCTGCTTTGTTGTTGTGCTTGGATTGTTGGACTGCACCAGCCTCTGCAGATCATATGCTTGAAATGGAATTGGGCATAAGTCCTACAGCTGCTTGCTGTGTTCACACAGCTTTTTACATTGTTTTTAAGACATTAAAAGAAGCAGAAATTACATGTATGCATCTAGAAGTGCCTGTAAGCTTGTAAGCCAGATTGAAGTTGAGATTTTAGTCATGCTGAGGGTGCGGGGATGAGGTGGGGAAGCAAAACAGACCTCAGAATGTTGTTGGGACCATTGTATTTTAAAATGTGTTAGCTTGCCTGCTTCTGAACACAGACAAATTGGTATCTACACAGGGCCTGATCTGTTTAAAACATCTCAGTTAACAATGGTCAGCATTAAGTGATAACATATTTATGCATGTAGTGTTCAAATACAGCTTCGTTTCCTAGTCTAAATGCAGGACATTTGTGACCTTCCGTGTACCTCAGAAAAAAGCTCTAACAATCTATGCAAAGAACATTTTTTTTATCCTCCCTTTGCTGCCTCTTTTGAGTCCAAGGCTAATTCTTCTATCACACTGACATTGTTATATAATGATTTGTATCGATTGAAAAGGCTGTCACATCTGTGTAGTGCCAGCAGCAGGTCAGAGGTTGGACAGACAAACGTTCTGCAAGTAAAGAACTTACTATCCAGACAATACTATGTATGCAAAATAAAATGTAACAATGGAAATGAGAGGAGGTTAAAAAAAAAAAAAGGAGCTGCTCTATGAGCCTTGCCTTGGCGTATGTCACTTAATATTTGTTATGTATTTAAACTTTACTTGGCTCTTTGCATAAGACTCAGTTATCTGATAAGTTAACCCATCACCTAAAAGGAGTTTTAGGGCTAAGAAGACATAAAAAGATGGTTGCAGCACGAAAGAAGGCCAGGGAAGAAATTTTGCAGGATTCGCACATGCATCTATGAGATATAAAAAGCACTTCTTTGTCCTAAATGATCCCTTTTAAAATAATATCCATCTGGATGAAAGCAAGAAAAGGAGACAGACCAGAAAACATGTTGTTTAATCTTCTGCTGCAGCTTGCTCATCACCTGCCTGTCATGGACGCTTGATTAGTTCCTACTGCCAATTCTTCTGTGATGTTTTCTAGATGCTCTCACTGTATTAGGTGACACGGGGAGCAGTAACACCAGCATGTCATGCAGAGAGAGGATGCAAGAGTGAGAGGGAGATAAAGTGCTTAGTGACCACACTATTTTTCCTTGTAATATTTAGCATACTTGACAGAAAACAAAGGAAAATTGCTGAAGAGTATCTTGCTTTAAACCAAAAAAAAAAAGATTGGATCCAATATAAAAAGTATGTGTCTAATTTGCTTTTGAGGAATGAAATCCCTTTCTTTGTGGAAGTAGTGAGCTTTCGCTGGCACCAGGTAGTGTGAAGCATCACTCTACATTGAATAGGGACTGTGTATTGATATGAAGATCACTGGAATTCATAAAACACAGATATCCTCACATTTCCTCCCTTGTTACCATTTCCACTCTTGAAAATGTTAGTATTTGTAGCCTTATATTTATAGTGCATTATATTTATAGTCTTATACTTAATATTTAGTCTTTATTGTCTGAGGAAGAAAGTGACAACCTCTAATCTGAATGAATGCTTCTTCTACACATGCATGTACTCTACATGCATGTTAAACCCATATATATATGCATACAGTGTATTTCATAAGAGCTATTGAAATTGGATTCCAATTGAAAATGTAAAGAGTTGAATTGTGAAGAAAAATGCACATTGGCTCTCCCTAAAATAAAGGAGTCCAAGAAAAGTAAGCTACAAAGTAAGCCACTTACATATTCTGTTGGATTTGGATATATAAGGACAGTAGATACTTCTAAAAGATATTAATCTGAGATAACGAACAAGAAATTATGTTTCTAGAACATGTTTCTTTCTAAGATGAAAGCAACTTTCTGACATGAACCACACTAAATTTGTGTGGAATGCAGGGAGTGAGGTTTATCTTCTACTATTTTAATGCATACGAAAAAACTACGTATCTTGTCATCATCTCAGGGAAGATTTATGAGGCTTTCATGCAAGATCAGTAAGTATATGTAATGAAATCCTTAGCAGGTTTAAAATTGGGAGTTAACAAAAGGTCAGTTTTGCAATATGTAATTTAGCCACTGGAATTACCAAGGGAAATTTTGTAACATTACATTTTAGCCAATCATAGCTATAATTGGAGCGTGTTCTTTTGTCTGTGAGTGCTGCAATGGAAAAATATGTTTGTAGCTATCTATAAAGAAAGAAGACTGCATTCTCCACCATTTTTTTCGCAGGACGTTCAGGTGTATCGTTGTAAAGCAATTACAACTCCCTGTGATTTGTTAGTCACTGGTCTGCACCCATATATCCAGTAAACATGGCTGAGTAAAATCTCATGAGTGAGCTAGTCTCAGTGCAAACTGAAACTGGCTTAGGATCTTATTGAAGTAATTTCATTCTTCAGCATCCTTTACAAAGCTCTTCAGTCTATCACTTTCTTTCCAACTTGAGACCTCTAATCCTTTAGGTCTGGTAAGCTGGGAGTTCTGAATGTGGAGACTAACATGCACCACTTCAAGAAATCCTTCTTCTCAATGATTGAAAACACCAATTTCCATTCTGTGATCTGTCAAGTGTGTCAGCAGAAGTCTGTTCTCCCTGGTCTGGCTATATATCCTGAAATGAAAAAGCCAAAAATAGCTAGTTCTCCATCAAAACTTCCTGACTAAAGCTCATTTTTCTGTAGACTGCAAAGCATCCTGCTGTTTCTTCCAAGATTTCACAGCTTTTTGGTCATAGTCGAATTCAATCTGTGAGCAATTATGCAAATTCACCCTGAAAAATTATTTTCTTAGCAGAGGGGAGTCAGGTATTTGAAAAGATGTTTGAATTCTTGACAACTCTAGGTTGTAAGTACAAAGGGCAAACTTGTTGGTAACTACCACGATAAACAGAGAAAAATATTTATCTGAAGAGGAGGAGAGAGAAGTGTTGAAGTGTTTTTAATTTGTGCCTGCCCTTTTAGCATGAATCTTAGCTGGTGATCAGGAAGTGATCACTTACACCTTGAACTGAGAAGGATGGGACCTATGGCATTGCAAGCTCATTCCTAGAAAATAGACATTAAAAACTGCTGGGAAGGAGAAGCATGGTATAATGAATTATATATTACAGACTAGATTCAAGGCAGCTAGAGACAGCTTCTCAGAAATTATCTGAAGTTGTTAGTCCTTGCTAATCGTGTGATATTTTGAATTTATTCATTAAGAACCTGCCTTTTATTTACATTTTAAACAAGCACAATATTGGTGATATACCACATTTATTTGCCTTTTGTGTGGCTTTTCATGCCAGGAATACAAGGTGTTGTGGAGGCTTATCAGAGCTGCCTGCCCAAGCTGCAGCTGTATGGGCCAACAAACATTGCTCCCATCATCCAGAAGGTGGCAAAATCAGCATCAGAGGAGACCAACACCAAGGAGGCCTCGGTAAGGGCATAATGCTGTTTGGCTTTTTTCTTGTCTTATGATGTATCTCTTGTAGACCATCAAAACAAAGGCTTTTCATGTGTGGGAATCATGCCTTCACAGTTTTCTCTAACTGCCCTCACAGAGGGCAGCTTGAGTCTGTGTCAGCTGGAGCAGTGTATCTAGCTTCAATAGTCACAATTTTAAACTCTTCTCCCACTGTTCTGTTTCTTGCTTTTAGAGCTATTTTACTGTAACACAACCAGTTCTTCACTGTGGAAACCACTAAGGTTACAGAAATGTAGGGGCCAAGCCCTGAAAGTGTTGATCATACAAGGAGATGAGTTCAGATTATTCCCTACAGATTACCCCATTTCAAGTCTCCTGCAGAGGCTGTACTAAAACGTTTTTGTTCAACTAGGGGATTTTTACAACCATTCCTTTGAAAACTACAGTGATAGAGTTTTCAATTTGCTATGACTGACATGGAGTATTATGTGCCTTTTAGAAATCAGGAGACAAGTCTGTTAGCCTGCATCTGATACAAAATCCATGACAGATTCTTGGGCTAAAAGGCTTAAGCATAGATAGTGTTTTAAATGTACATCTTTGAAATGGATTAGGCTTATTTTTCTCCTGCCTTCCAAACAGAATGGGAGAAAGGGAGAATGAGAGAATTGGAGAAAGTACGGGACCGAGGAGGTCTGAAACATTTACAAGAGCAGTGCTGTTGAGTCAAGGATGTAAGAGAGGGCTTGTATACTGCAGCAAGATAAATGACTATGTATAGGAACAGAATAGAGCTGTGCATTGGCATGTATCTCATCACCAGGCCTGGAGCTTTCTCTAAGCTTTCTTCATGTGCTGAAGCCTTTTTTTAAGTACTATTAAGGCAGCAGTTCCCAAATATTTCTGTTCATGAGTCTGGGCTTGTGATTGTCACTCCACTGCTGTTTCCAGGATCTTGATACTATTTAGGGTCCCAGTCCTAAAATGGGCAATTGCTATGTTTGAATTTCCATACCCACCTAATCGTGAGGTGGCTCACTCTGTTCCCAGTGCTGCCTCTGAACAAGTATGTCATATTGAATAAGTTGCTTCATTCTTCCAGACCTAAGCTTCGTTTGAAAAAGAAATTAATTTATAGCATGAGTCTTCAAGATGAAGTTTTCTCCCTGCATGTTTTGTTTTATTCATGGCAGGAGATAATGAACAGAACTCTGTGTGAGTTTATATAGCTGTGTATACAAAAACCTTAATGATGTTTTGTGTGTTGGTATTGCCTGTGCAGAGTGACCAAATTCTGTGACCTGTTCATTTTTCCTATTGATGCACATTTGTTAAATGACTCCAGCTGCCTAACAATTCATAAAGGATCCAAGTGAGAGTCACTCTTCCCCATTACTAAGTGAAGATGTCATAGCCCATGATCCCAGTCCAGTGGACTTGGGAGTTTGGGGAAAGAAATGACAAGCACACAAAATTGCTTGCTCTCCTCTAGAGAATGAGAAAATCTCTCTTCAGGGCTCTGTATGAAGTGTTTGAAAATGGACATATTCCTCCCTGCGCATGCCCTTGCTCTCCTCAGGGACCCCATTACTCTGCAGAATTCAGTAGACCTGCCATGGTGTGGTGCTTCTCCTACAGGCACCACTGGATCACCCTCCAGTTTGCAGACGGCTGCACCCATCCCACTTGCCTGTTAGCAAAGCACCTCTGCAAAGTGCTGTCATAACCTCCCTGACAGCTCTGCTACAGGCTTGTAACGCTTCAATACCCCATTCCTTCCTGCCTCCCACTGGTTCCCAAAGGGAAAAAAAATGTAATTGGAAACTGTCAGCAGAAGTGATTGTGCAGCAGATGGAAAATAGGGCTAGTGAGGATCTCAGGACTATTCCAGACTTCCCAGCCAAAGTCCTGACTCTCCCAGCCCTAGCAGCTAGAAACCCCCTTTTCTACACTGTGCATGCCTTGGCTCCCTCCAGCTCCTGGAAATTACCTGAACTAGAGCTAAACTCCAGAAGAGGACAGATTAGTAGCTGAGGAGGTTTGGATGGAAAACACACTTAACCTTTGAGTCACTATTTTAAAAAGTCCATGAGTGAGTTACCAGAAGCACTTTTATACTGGAAAAGGGCAAGCAGCTTTGGAAGATTAACTAATGATATAATTTTTCACTTCTTGTCCAACAACTTCAGCAATATTTCATCTTGCTGATTCTGACGGACGGCGTCATCACAGACATGGCTGACACCAGAGAGGCCATTGTCCATGCCTCTCACCTTCCCATGTCAGTCATCATCGTCGGGGTGGGGAACGCCGATTTTAGTGACATGCAGATGCTGGATGGTGATGATGGGATCCTGAGGTCTCCCAAGGGCGAGCCTGTGCTTCGAGATATTGTCCAGTTTGTGCCATTTAGGAACTTCAAACATGTAAGCTGACTTTTCCATCCATTCTGCAGAAGGCTGAATGTATGTAACATATAGGGAACAGTCTCTGGGGCTGGGCCTAACTTTGTATGGGCATGAAGTGTTCAGTAATCCTATGGCATTATTGTGTCAGAAATTGAGAGAAAAAGCAGTACAGAATGAAATGTGCTTCATTAGTGAGATGGTGAGGGTGGGGAAGGAAGAGATGGGGCAGAATCCATGTGCTTCTTGTGGTGCCAGTCCTTAGTTCCACTTTCTCCCTGATTTTAGTTTTGTTGCCCCTCCTGACTTATTTGTCCTGGTGTCTCTCTTCCATTCTCTTTACATCTGTTCTATTAGGACTACTGTATTCTGCTTTCCACCCCTTCATTTCCACAGGCAGCTGAAATGGCTGTGAATTTGTACTCACAGTGTTCCCCGGGAGTCTGTTTCCTTATTGAAATTTAGGTCCCTGAGTTCTCAAAGGCAGGACTATCCACCCACAGCATCCTGGTTGCCTCCAAACCCTTTCCCCAAATTCTGTACAAGAACACAACCAAGAAAATGGTGTTACTAAGAGCTTCAGCCAGCTGTTCCTGTCTGAGCCCACTGTGGTGTAGGGAACACTCTGTAGGAGAGGAAGGGACAGACCCAGCGTTAAATTGCCAAACTTGAAATAATGCCTTGGCTATGTACTTTTCTCCCCAGTCACCTGCCCTACATTGCAGCATCTGTCCCAGGGACTTTTTCGGCAGCTGGGTAGAGACTGTGTTCGCCCACAGAAGGAGCTTTCCCACACACAGCCAGGTTTTTCAGGGCCCTTTTCCTCCATATGGAGGCATGGAATGGCCAGTGTGTTCCGCAGCAATGCTGATCACATTGCTTTCTCTCTGTTTTTCCATCTCCCTTCCTTCCCCTCATTCTTTCTGTTATATTGAAATGGTTCTCCAGACTGCTTTTTTGCTCACCTTGGTGTCTAGGAAGCATATCCTCAGTATTTGATTTGAAAATTTCTTTACCCCACAGTGTAACTGACTCATTCTCCTCATGAGATTGCCCTTTCCAATCCACTCCCATACGCTAGTGAGCCTTGGATCTGGATATGTCACACAGAAGTTTTCAACTCTGGGTTGGTTTTGGTCTGCATATTGGTTGCAGTGCTTACATTTCTTTAGTTTTTCTAGGTTTTTTGTTACCACAGGAGATTTCTTTTTTCTGTTTGCTACTTCCAAAATACCTTCATTTTATTTTCCTCTTCTCAAGAGTTGTTCTTTTCTCACTTCAAAATACTATTTTGGCATATTTGTCTTAGATCTAGACACATTTCTTACTTTCACAAACTCTACTGAGGAGTAAGAGAAACAAACTTGTTCCTCTTTTCCCTCTACCTTTATGTAAAAAATGGATCCTCACAGGAGGTGAACTCCCCCTGAGCTATTAGTTTGGTGACACCATGCCAAATGGCTGCAGATTTGCCACTGAATTGTAGATACATACATTTCTATGCTGACAGTGCCACTCAGTCACCTATCTACTGCAAAAAAGTATGAGCACAACCTGCTCATAGCTTGTGATTCTCCTCATAAGATAATCACAAGTGCGTAGTGCTGCACTGTAGTCTATTGTAAAAGTGTCGAGAGGCAAGTTATTTATGGGCTAGTGCTAGACCTACTTCCAATTAGTTGAAAACCTGTTTCTGCAAGGAACTGGCAAAGCAGCTGCACTAGTTATTTTTAGTTTCATTTTGTGATTTTTTTTAACAAAGTTGAAATCATCCTTAATTGAATAGATTAACGCTGACAGTTGCAGTTCTGGGCACTGAATATATTGTGCCTCTGGTGTTACTTGTGAGTGAGTTTATGTGTGATTTTAATCGCTAGCATTGGTCAAATGACAAGCATATATTATTTTTAGCTGTTTTAGATTAACTTCCCCAGTACTGGGAGAGGATAGCAACCTTAAAAATTTATTGCTCTTGTTAAATAGTGATATTTTTCTCCCCATTTCTCTCAGTGGCAGAGATAATACAGACATAGAGATAGATAATTGTATTTGCTGCATCAGAAAAGTCAATATATCTTATATGACTTGATATTTAGTCTGTTTATTGTGATCTTTCAGCATTTCAACAAATGTCAGTGTAATGGATGAGTGCCCATATCAATAGCCACTTCTGGCTGAATTTCTTTATTGTCATATCTCAAACAATGTCTCTCTCTTAACAAAGTGACATTCACAGCTATCTTGCTTACTTATCCTCAGCACAAAAAAAAGACCATGCCTTTTGCATCAACTAGTGAAATAACTTTTCATGGGAGAAATTAGTGTAATGTTTTGATTCAAACTTATTTTTCCCCACAGAGAAATGTGGATTTAACACATTTGGGTGATTTTTGTCAGATCAGTTCTGACCAAACACAAGAGTTACCATAAATCAGCATATTACATTTGACAGCTTTAAGTAAAAAATGTATTTAGTCAAAAACCACATCCCTTTTGTCAATGTACCTTGTGTTTAGCTTTGGTATTTAGGTCACTCAACTATTAAGCAGAAAAAAAATGTTGAAGGACCTTTTTAGAAAGACTACAAATCAAGTCGTATAAGGTTTATAGGTTTTTCTGATAAATCAAGTATTTATTTATGCCTAAATCTGTATTACCTCTACTACTGACGGAAGGAGGGAAGAAAATGTTATTTGTGAGCAATTACTTTTTGTTTTGCTGGAACAGTAAACCGAAATTCATTTGGAGTCAACCCAAACAATATTTTTTTTCATTACTTCAATTCTCAGGTCAGCCTGGAACTCAAAATCTCATATCTATCCAAAGAAATCAAAAATAATCTATCCAAAAGCTGCCCCTGTGAGAAAATTGAAAGGAGGGAGAAGGAAGTTGTAAAAATAACCTATAGAGTGAATCCCCTATATTTTATAAGTTTGACTTCAGAGAAGGTTCTGATCCTGCACAGCACTCATATAGGCATTTAACACATTTCAATTCGTTATAATTATTCACATACCTAAAACCTCACATCCACTCCAACATTTTACTGACTCAAGACCCAATATAGACAGAAAGCTTTATTATAGGGGTTTAATCTCCTGCATGATGTAGTGCATCAGGAGTACTTCAGTAAAGTATCTTATCTTTTTTACTTTCTTTAAGGAATATCTTTGAAGCTATGAAAATAATAATAATTGTAGTATTCTTGGCAAATCCTGTAGTTGCAGAGGCTTGATAAATCAAGGTAATCATTACTGCTTAAAAAAATGTCCCATTGTATAGTGGATGACATGCAGTTCACTACAGGGGAACATAACAAACAAAGGGAAAATATTTTCCTTGAACCCAAGTGAATTTCTTCTCTCTATAATGCTCACCACCCCAGCAATGTGAGTGTCCTTCACCTGAAACTGTAGAACTGTGATGTTCACAATCATTGAAATGTAGTTGAAGAAAATCACCTGTCTTGAGCCATTCACAGGCATATTTTAAGAGCTGAAATTCTCTGCCTTTAGGATGCATAATATATTTACTGTGCACAAATCTGATGCCACAGGTAGATTGTATTCCACTCTGCATTGTATTTAATCATAAAGGCTAACAACTGTGACTTAATAACACATATATCACAAATGATCGTGGAGAGCACAGCTCTTAACCACTGCAAGCAGCAATGTTTTGCACTATGCATTGTAATTAAAGATTAAGCATGGTGAAGCTATAGAACTGAATCAACAGTCATTTGTAATATACACCAATTATCATCATAGGGGATTATTTTCCTGCTCCTGGCCGATCTGAAGTGTATTAGCCATGAATTGAGAGCTATTCATCTTCAGGTGTTTATTGCTAGGATGCTCTTCAAGCAGAGCAGTTAAACAGTGGAGAAAACGTTACAGTAAAACATTGATGTACCATCTATGTTAAAAACCCAGCGCAGGCAACCCTTATGCAGCACTGCTGAACTGGGGCTGGTTTTTAGCTCAGAAGTTACTGGGTCTGATTCTTACTTATACAAATGCTGCTTTGCACCATCTGGTCTAGAAGTGAGAGTGCTTTACCACCACAGAAGTACATAAGGTGCAGGTGGCCCAAGTCATCAGACAAGAAATTGCCCCAAACACTGGTTTTGGGATGCTCCCTGCTAGAAGTAGCCCCAGGACCGAAAGACATCACCAGCACGACGAAACTCAGTGAAGCAACAGTTATCCGTGTTCAGACTGAAGCACGGAGTCAAGCCAGCTACCCCAGGGCAGCTCTGTGTGGGGCCACACATTGTGAGCCTGTGAGCACAGTAAATGTGTTAGCTTAAACCTCAGTGAAAGGCTATTTACTTAGCATGCACATTGGGCACGGAGTGCATAGCTCAGTTGACTCCTCAGGCAGTGGTGGTTCAGCCGTGCAGCTGAGCCCTGGCAGAGCCTGTTCTGAAGGGCTGACCCTTCGCTCAGGAAGAATGGATGTGGCATCAGAAGAGAGAGAAGTGGCAGCGGGAGGATGATGCAGAGAGATGAATGTCAGTCCAATGTTCAGGCATGTGGACTACACGTGATCCAGAGAAGCTGGTGGCAAGTGCTCCTGCCCAGCATTTTTAAAGATAGAGCAGAGTGAAGTTTCCTGATTGCTAGGGCTTGTGTGTGCAGCAGTGGCCCAGGACGCTTCCCCCATTCCCCGTTTTTACTCTTTATGTAGGGTTGTATTTTTGGTAAGATGACACAGAGGCGGGCTAAGGTATATACAGCTTTGGCACACTGGGAAGGAGATTAAAAAAACAATAATTCTCAATAGCAACATAGAAATCAGCCATTTGCCTGACTCTGAGGGGTATTTTCTGCTGATTTCACTGAAAACAGGTTTAGGCAAGAACAGAACAACTGTGGAAAACCATGCATTTCCCTCTGAAGGATTAAAATAAATAGGTTCTGTTACTGCGTAACACCTGAGAACAGTTCCCGCTCTGTCACACAAAGCATGGGCTCTGCTTTGCTAGTTTGTTCATGCAGAAATGTTCCAGGCTTTTTTGCCTGCACAAATATTTTGGTATAAATGTCACAGTAGGGAAAAAGCAGTTCATTTTATTTGTTACTAATCACATATGTGACTCAAAATACCAAAATACAAAAAAAATAGTTTTGTTTCTGGGTTTGCTAGCATTATCTTTGTATTTGTAGTATTATAAGATTTGATACTGGAATTTATAATAGCCCAGGGGCTTTCTGCACCCCTGGATTAGCTTGCCTATGAATAGTTTACCATTTACATCCTTTGTAAGCCTAATTTTAAGACTCTAAAAGGATAAGGATCCTACCCCATGAAATAGAGTAGGGCAATAAACAGTCAGTACAACTACTTTGTGACATGGTAGTTTTGAAACCTGGCTGACAATATAACAGACAGTGAGGATGGAAGTGTTCATTAATGTGGGAAAAAGTACTTGGTGTGCAGAAGAAATGCAACCCAGCCACCAGTTGAGTTCCAGTGCATCGTCTGAGCTGCCATGTGTGATCCATGTGTGCTCTATCTGGAGGTAAACACATTAGTTTAAACCTCTCAAACTGACGGTTAAGCATTTGCATTTTTACTGCATTTTTGTGGTGGGCTCAGAGGGAACATGGTCAGGCAGGCTGGCTCACAGGGGCTTGGAATCAGCTCTACCTAAATACTTAGAAACAAGCAAATCCAAAACACAGGGCAAGAGGGTGCTATTGGGCTGCATGGGAGAACAGGAGTCCAGTTTTGTCACTGCTGAATTCAGGGAATTCAGGAAAATCTCTGCAGCACACGCAGGTAACAGTTGCCCACAAAACAACCACAGGCCCCACTGCTTAAAATGAAGCATTGTCAGGGTGTGAGGCAGCAGCTGTGTGTTGTCAATGGAGGGCATGGTTTCTCATTGCACTGAGGAGTAGCCCTCCTCCCTGCCTGCGGTGAAAGCCAGTGGCCATCTCTATATCCATCTCTACATTTCAGGGTCATCAGTTCTTAAGTCTGGTTGACACCCGCCATTGATAGGTTGCAGGAAGAGCTTTAAAGCCTCCACAAAGCCTAGGACTGAAGCTTTCTCTTGACCGCGGTTTAATGCCAATGAAAACAAAGTATTTTTTACTGAATTAAAAACTTCCCCAGCCATTAAAACAGCATGTCAGATCCTGAAGAGCAGAATGGTGATGAAGGCCTCCCTTTCCCAGTGATGTCCTTTCATATTCAACTTGAAGCTCTGCAGGGTTACTCACTGAGTGCTGATGAATGAAGTCTTTGCAGCCCTTTTCATTGCGATGTGGTGCTCTCCCAGAGCACAGGGAAGTTAAGGTACCCTGAACTTAAAATAGTCCAAACGGACCTGAAAAACATGCAGAGCACTTTTGGCTTTAGTGTATTTTCAGGCAGCTACAGCTACATGCCCAAACTGACTCATAAAATGAGTTTCCAGCAATAGCGCCACACACTTTGAGTCTTTTTTGCCTTCCATTTCTGTACCATACTTCCTACCTTGATCTCATGGCACCAATGCCTCTAAAACCCATGGCACTTCCAGCAGAGAGACAGGTTAATGCTTTTGTTTTCTACCATTTCCTGCAGGCATCCCCAGCTGCTCTAGCAAAAAGCGTTTTGGCTGAAGTTCCAAACCAAGTCGTGGACTATTACAATGGCAAAGGGATAAAACCAAAATGTATGTCAGAGTACGAGTCTTCCAGGACACTAGCTCCATGAACCTGCCTGCACTCTTTTACAAAATTAAAAAAGAAAAATGCTACTGTCTACAACTACTGTACTTAAAAATGAAACAAAAAATAGCACGTTTTGGTGATTTTTAACTAAAATAACCATTTTTTTTGCATGTGTAGCCTAAAGGCTTAAATCTGTTAAGCAGTTGTATTGTTGAAAACTTTTTACGAGAAAAAAAATCCAGAAAAAAAAAAGTGAACTCTTTACATTACAGCATGTTGCCTTGAGATAAAAAGTTATCTGTATCTGTTTTTTATACAGGTTTGTTGAAATTTTGCTAAATTTCTTATCTTTACACTGTAAAGCATTTTGAAATATTTATTGAGAGTCGATAGCCAAAATGTCTTTGGTTTAATCTGCTATGAAATGAGAGAATTTTTCAAAATGGCAGATGCATGAACTGTATTTTGCATGTTTAAAATAAAAACAACACAGTTTTGCAGTTGTTGTCTTTATTTCTCTCTGCCACTAGGCTGCCTGCTTTCAACTTCCATATTCCAAGAAAAGAGTATTAAAGTGTTTCAAGAGATATCTGGCCTGAAGCACGGGCATTTCTAATGTTAGCAGCTTATTATAACATGGGCACTCAAACACGCCTACTCAGTCTGTGGCCTGAGTAGCAATTTTTCAAAAGCCTGACACATGCAGCTGTTAGGAAGGGTTCAGACTGTAGCTGTAAACAGATCTGTCTTGGAGGGCATGATCTATCAGGATTGCATGTCTTAAAATATGCCTACTTAATCCAAATGATCTGGCTGGCTTTCGAATGGGTTGTATTTTGACTACCCAAATTTATAATCTGTTTGGGAACTCACTTTGTTTCATTTGTATTTTTTAATCTCACAACTGGTATCCAACTTTACGTGACATGTTTTCTGAAAGAAATTTTGCACAGCCTGATTTTGTGACAACCAGTGTTTTGCAACTTCATGCACGCACAGATCACTTGTGTGTGTTAGAAAAACTGGGTTTGTACCAAAAGGATATTCAAGCCGCCTGTTTTTTTAAAAAAGAGGACACACAAGAACAGATTGGCAGTGGATTGATCTTTCCATTGAAATATTTATGTACATAAAGGAAGAAATTAGATTGTTGTTATTCTTAGTATTTGAATTTTGGCTTCTTCATTTGCTAAAAGACAATAGTGAAAGATGTGATGTGTTAGAATTAAGGATAAAATTTGACCAAAAATAATTTGTGTGGGATTGCCTGAAAGGCATGGCTTTGGACGAGTTGTGCTCCCACTGAATGCTTGTTCCTAGTTCCAGGAGAAGCTGTTTTGGGTCAGTACTGAATATTTTGGAAAATCTCACCTATAAGCAAGGGTTTTTGTTTTAGAAATAATGTATTTTTAAATGGGTTTGCAGGTAATGTAGAACTCTAGCTCCCTGATTCTCCTTTAGAAGTAACTTCCGTGGGATCAGCTTTGATTGATGATTTTCTACCATAAAATGAAGGCAATGGCACAGCCAAGATGCATGGGGCTATCTCACATTCAGTTCTGCTCCATCTATATCCTGCAGCGCAATCGGTCACACTTCCTAGTAAAGATTCCTTCAGCTGATCGGATATTGAACAGAAGTCAGTATTACTTGGTCATAGGTATAAATTGTCTGAATCTGTCCCAACTGATAGATCTCAAATCTACGTTTCCGTTTAATGGCTGACAGTTCATTTGAGAGACTACCCCAGCAGGCTGCACATCTCTCCCTCTGTATTTCAGCTGGAAGCTACTGTGTTTTTCCCTTATATCTCATACACCACTCTGCCAATGTACCTTAATTCTTATCTACAATATCTCTATTTTCTTATTCCCATTTCCTCCCCTTTTTCTTTCCTTCCCTATTCTCAGAAGGAGCATTTTCTAGCTGTTAAAGCACATGACTGAAAAATCAATGACTCCATGTTCTTTGCTCCTCCAGTATCTTATTTTGTAATCCTGGCCAAGTTGTTTAACTTTTCTGCACCTCAGATGCCTCATCTATGAAATGAAGGTTACTGCCATGTGTTCATAAATATCTCACAATTGTACTGGGGGACTTCAATATTTGAAAAGTGATTTGAGATCCTCAGAGGCATGATGGTGCTCTTGCCATGTAAAGAGTATTTCTTTACCCCAGGGGTGTGGATTTAGGCATATAATGTACAGCTGAGGAGGGGTTAAGCCTTTTCTTTATTATTTGGCAGAATGAGGGAAAGTAAAAGAAAGGTTTCAGCACGAAAAATTAGGAATCAGATGAATTGTTCTTCTGGATACAATCTTTGGCTAAAGATTTCTGAAGTGTTTATGGTTACATAGAACTGGGCAGTTACAGCTCTTCATTAGCAGACGTGTTACAAGGTGCTTCTGTAGTGTAGCATCACATAAAATGCAGAGATCAACAGGTTATTGTATGCTGAGCTACATAAATCATCAGTCATTTTCATGTGTGTAGGTGGTCTATGGAAGTGTCTCAAGAGAATCACAATTGCTGCAGATCTTTCTGTTTACTTCACACAATCCAAATTGTGTACTTAAACACAAATCATTATCAGTGGTAATACAGATCAGCAATTCTGAGGCAGCCCTCAAGGTGTTTGAAAAGACACCATGATACTGAAAAATCAACTAGAAATTTCCTTCAATCTGTACAGATCCCAGCATGCAAAACCAAACACGTCATAGTGTGGTGAGCTGGTGTAGGAGAATGCGCAGAAGACAAAACTAGCCATATGGTAAAGGCTTTCTAACAAAGCTTTGAATGTTATTTTCATTGCTCCAAGTTACTCAGTGAAATAAGATAGTATGGGCTTTGTGCAGGGTAATATCATTAAGTATATGAATGTATCTCTGAAATGGCATTTATTCTCCTGTTTTATCTACCCAGGGTTTTAGCAAGGCCGTTCTGCCTTTAGGCTGAACCGCCATCAATTTCTCTCATAGATTTTTTTCATGCAAATTTAAACTTCTACTGCCTTTTGATGGATCATTTTAAATTCTGAAAACTCCTTTAAAATAAATTATATCTTGTCCTTTTGAGGTGATTGATGATCTAAAATATCTTCTCTTCCAACTGCAATCCTGCCTTCCTTTTTACTGTCTCTCAAATCCGATTCAAAACCCAAGTCCCAGAATACTCAACGATCTTAATGATCCCTGTTAGCTCAAAATACATTAACATCCATAATTCTTGAACCAGATACCGAGCTGAGTTGTATTTTTATTTGTGTAGGGGAAACTAAGTTTACAATAATAAAAAAAAGCACTAATACACTAAGTGCTTATTGCCCTAAGGTAAAACCTACCCATGTGAAGTTCTTACCCTGATAAGCAATATAGTCTTCTATAGCATTTGATGAAAAAGTCTACAGATATGAAATGAAAATGAAATTGTAATAATATTACTTTAAAACATGTCTTTTCTTTTAGTCTCCAAGTATCAAAGGTACACAATGATGACAGCTAAAAGGTTTACAGTTTGATCTGTTAGAGACCTGCTGAGTGTGATGGAGAACACTGGCCAAAGCCAAGGCTTGCTGCAGGTTGCAGAGGTGATATTCCAACAAATACACAGGTGGAAGGCCCCAGTTCTGAGCAGATTTGCATGACAGAGCCCTGCCGCTCTGCAACACTTAACGACATCCCTTGCCATGCACCAAATACTGTGACAGAACGGTGTGTGGTGTAGTGAGCCTCATTATTGTACTGCAGTAAGATCTTTGCTGACTACTTAAACATAGCTACCTCCTTCAGCTTGGTTCTCCAGCTGCACAAACAGGACACAGCTTACTCCCAGAAAGTACCCAACTGGTTATTCAGATTGACCTTTCTCGCTTTGGTTTATGGGTCTTGCAGTCACGCCTGCTGTGTAAATCTAAACCTGCATCCAACCTTTCCAGAGTAAAAGAGGTACTAGACAAACTCCCTTTACTCCTAAGTAGCATGGACATTTCAGGCACAAAGAATTGGGACATTTACATTCACTTTTTTTGGAATGGGAAGGATGAGCTGGAGGACACCTAGGATAAGGTTACACTTCTCAGGTTGTTTTTCCCCTTTATTTACAGGCACTGCCATTTTGCCACAAGGAAAATACAGTTTATAGCACCATCTGTCCTCCTTCACTCATAGGTCTTACATGTACCTGCAGTCCCGGGCTGAGGAGCTGCACTTTACCAGAGGCAATTTCAGCAATTAGAGAGCTATGTGAGTGATACTGGTCAGCCCAGCTGCCCATTTGCTTGCAACATTCACTGCAAACCATCAGTCGGCTGCACTCACACCCCCTCTTTTCTGTTTTCTTCCAATTTCATTGCATAGTTGGGGAGATCTGCCAAACTGATCAGGTGAAACCTAGGTGACCTCTCTTGTGAAGGCTGCCAGTTCAAAACTGGTGTTTCCATTTCCTCATTCCTGCAATTCTGAGGACTCCCAAGGCAGCAGACTGGCAAGGAAGGTTATTTTGTAATGGGCATTGTCTCTTTCTTTTCCTTCTCTCCAAAAAAGTGCTAGTCATTTCTACTGCTGTGCAGAAAGCCTTTTACTGCTGTGTTCAAGAGGCACTTGAATTTTTATCCCACTGATTAGAGCAGGCAGTTTGCAACCTGATTGCATTCAGAGTTGCAGCCATCTTGCTACACACACACACAAATTGACAAGAGTTGCCTCTAGCATCATGAAAAGCTGCATGCACCAAGAAAAAAAAAAAAAAGGTTTGCTGTTGATATTAAAAAGGAGAAAAGAAGTACAGCATTAAAATTTTTCTCTGCCAAATGTGTGCACCCCCATGTGTTACTTCCAAGTTACTGGTACATGAAATCCTGCGTCACGTCAGCTGCGCAGCATGCTAGATGAGAAAAGCATCATACTGCAGCAGCAAGGCTAGCTAGCATCAAGAGAGCCCTCTTCTCTAGCAGGGAACATCCATCGTGACTTGGCAAGTCACTTAATCTTGCTGTGTGCCTTAGTTCCACGTCTTTAAAATGGGGATAAGTAGCATTTTGCTACTTTCTGCGGACTTTGGTAGGGTAGGCACCAGTGCACGGTTGTCACAGTGCTTTGAAATTGGGAGGTATCACTTTTAACATTTTTAGATCCTTTCTTTCTGCTGGTGTAGAAATCCCTGTCAGAGCAGCAGCATAACCTACTGAAGGACCCTGCTAGAAAACAGGTCTACAAGAAATTTAGCAACACCCCTGTGGTGTTGCTGTTCTTGATGCCAGGGAGAGAACAGAAAGATGCATTGGTCCCTGTGATAGCAGATATGACTAACCAGCTTCAGAGAGGGAGTATCAGTTGGACTCTGAACTTGAGAGATGCATTTCTGAACACGCTATGTGTTTACTTCTTAAAAGGACAAGAACTAAACACGAGGACAAGGAGTGTGTGTGAAAGCTGCTGGTAGTTTTCCAGATCACAGTTTGGGGTGTGAACACCAAAATTCTGCTCAGTTACCCACTCTGAGGTGCCTACAGCCTGTCTCAGATCTGGTTAGCCAGCCACAAGCCTCGAGTGCAACACCCCCACACATACATACCACAGGGGAGAAGAAAACAGCACAGCAGGGTAAAGAGGAAAAGCAACGACAGACTTCAGCTGGCCACACTGAAGGTTCATCTATCTTTAAAAAAGATGTGTCTGTTGAAACCAAAAGGGAATCTTCAGTTCATGCCCATTCACCATCCTACCCAGTGCACTCTCAGCTGTGCTTGTGCCCTGCTCAGAAAAAAAGGGTGAATTAATTCCAAATACTGACGAAACCCAGATCTCACTGGAGCCAGAGTCAGAGGTACGAGCCCTGTGCCAGGCTGCCCGGAAATCCTCTGCCTGACCCACATGCTCTAACTTTACCAGTACCTTTGCTGGCTACAATACTAAATATACTTCCCCTAAACACTGCCTTCCCACCCTTACGTGGCCTACCCACTTGCAGGGAGCACCTGAAGCCGTTCAGCCCCGCACCCCGCAGCGGTCTGATACAGCAGGGACCCTTCTGCCCCAACCCTCCGGGCATCCGCTCCGCTCCGCACCGCTCCTCCGGGCGGAGGAGTCTTCTGAATCCGTGCAAGGGTCCTGCAGCCCGCTGGGCCTAAGCGGTGCTTGCCAGCGATACGCTTCGCCCTTACGGACGCTTCTTGTGTTGGATTCCGGCGGCCGGAACGGAGGCGCGGGAGGGCCGGCCGTGCTGGCGGGGTTGGGGGGAAGGGGTGCCCGTGGCTATTTCTGCGCGTCCTCTCCCCCTCTGCACCCCCTCGGGTGAGGGCTTTCCCGCCCGTGTCAGAGAAGGCCCATCGGCCACGGGTGCCGCAGCCCTGCCCCGCGGGGCCTTCGGGCACGCAGCGGCCCAACCGGCCGCCGGCCAGGGCCCAGGTTAAACCGCGGGCCGCGCCGCCGGGCAGGCACCTTCACCGGGGGGGCGGGACCTCTACCCCTGGGCCGCTGCGGGAAGCCGCTGGCGCCAGCGGCGGGGGACGGGACGGGACGGGACGCACGACCACGTTCTTCGGGTCGGTTCGGGAGTTTTGACGTTAACTGTTGAGGTAACCGCCTCCCCCCGCCGGGAGCGCCGGCCGGAACCTTCTTTCTGAGGCAGCACGGAAGGCTTTCAGCGTCGGACCGGGCGGCGCCGGAAGCCGGCGGCGGCTCCGCCAACGCTGGCGGCATGGCGGGCTGGGGGCTGCTGGGCCGGCTGGG